GCGAACCTGAACGTCAGCAGCGGTTGATGCTGTTTTCAGCTTTAGGCAGTCCAAACGCTCGATACTGGTGAACGGCTTCTTCGACGCGTTCCCACGCTTCCGGGCTGTCGGTGTGTTGAAATGGCCTCGCGTAGATGACAAAAGTCGAGTCAGGAGGTTGTCCTAATGAGACCCGCCACAGTGGCGCCGTTCTCCCGCTGTTTGAGCCCGTTCAACAAAAGGCTTGTTTCGTGAAGCTTTTGTTGAGACCTGAATGCTTCCTGGAACGTCTACCGGACAGTGTCTTGTAGACTGGGCGCCGATGGGGTTGAAAGCCTCCCTAGTAGACTAGCTTACGCACAATGGCGTCTGCCCAGACAAATTGCCTGGCCAAACGTAACATTGTTAAACGCCGACCCTGCCTCCGAGACCCTCTAGTTGCTGCTCTCCCCAACCCATGGAGCAAGGAAAGCTGTTTTCTTCACCCATGCCCCGACTGCTTTGTTTACGCATCCCTCCGTTCTTTGACCCCCCGCTACTCTGAGCACGCCGCATCGCCAGATGAGGCCCCCGTTTTCACACTGCCATCGATCCTTTGAAGACCGGTCGGCCATCTACCCTATTTTTGATCGCTGGTACTGTCGTTGGCGCCGCCGGTGCCGGCCTGGAGTGACCAGACCATTTGCCAACATCGTCGGCCACCGACTGTATCTGATAGTCTGCGTCTAGTGCACGCGTGTATGCTACCCCACCGACTCTGATAATTTGCCATTCGTTTCCTGTTTAAAACTTGTTCTCGCTCACTTTGCACTCCGCTCAGCATGCCTTCCGCACGCGTGCAGAAGCGCAAAAACGGCGGTTAATTTGTGCGGAACAAATTGCAAAATATCGAAGTTCGTGAGGCCACGTAAACCCGCCGGCGCAACAAAACAATTTTTTGACCACGGCCGCCGATTCTTCGAACACCGCCACTTCTGCGCGCGCAGGCACTCTTTCGAAGTTTTTTACGTGCAAGTTTCGCGGTCCTTTCAAGCAAGCTACCCAACTTGCCTCCTTCCCGTGTGTTTTGGTTTTCAAGGTCGCCCTTCCGCCGCATCCTCCCCTCTCTTTATCGCAACTCCTTGCCCTTCTCTCGCAAGTCTGCTCTCCTCTCTTGATCACAACCCCTTCGCTCGCCTCCTCCGCTCCGTGACGCCCGCCATGCTGGCTCAAATTAGTTTCGTTTTCTGACTGGAAATGGGCCCAGAGCTGTTCCACGCATTCTGGCATGTGTGTCGCGTGTTCGGGTCTTGCTAGCTCTTGGTGTGCGTGTGTGGTCATGATGGCCGATGGGAGGACTAGCACGCTTTTTCGTGCCGCTCAACAAAACGTCGAAACTGTGGCCGCTTGGGTTGAGCGTAATCTGCTCGTTTGGTGTGGCGTTGCAGAGCACTTGCTCATAGCTGTTACCTGGCAGCCAACTTGCCGCTTCGGGAATCCCTGTATTCAGCTGTGGAGATAGTGAATATTTCGTGGGCGGCGGTGACGGCTACATGCGCGCGAAACTGTTTTCGCGAGGCCGATTTCGTCGACGTCGGGCCCGATTCCGAGCCTGAAGCTTCCAAACTGCGGCGGCGATTTGTGGCAGTGCGTCGTCGACTCCGACCTGGGAGAGCGGGTGGGACATCTTTTGAGATGGTTTAATTATGGCTGATGATGATGCCGACACTGCTGAACCGTGCATGGATTGGGGCATTGGGAATGAAGTACGTGGCGAGAGCGATTTGGAGGAATCGCATTGCGAGAACGACGAAGTTTTGGAGCCAGTGCCTCATGCAGCTTATGCCACGGGCCTCGGCGAATGAGCACCCTGCCATTTTAAATGAACTCGAGACCACCCTTATAGCTTCTGCTCTTATAAACACATGTGTCACGGACTTTTTGGGGCAAAAAAAGTTTGTGTTTTCACTCACAACTTTTTTAAAAGCTGTTTTTTTAAAAGGATACAGCGAACGGATGCCGCGTCACTGCCAGGTTCGTTATAAGCGAGCTCGACTGTAATCATAGTTAGTTTTTGGGCTTTTGCTATAATGACTTTTCAAAATAACGAACAAATTGCCACGACCCCCTGAAGTTCGTTATACCGAGATTTCACTGTAAGATAGTGGACAGCGACCACGCCTTTCTGAAAGCCTGCGGCCATTCAATTTGTCTGCAAAGGCCATTTTCACGCCTTTGCGATGAACATTTGCAGTGCTTTGTGCTTGGTGCTTTCCAAGCATCGTCCAAATTAACTGAATTCTGATCAGTTATGACTGAATTAACGAGACTTTGATGCCATCAAACTACAATGCTGACCAGGACCAGAGCACATATTCGAATGACCCGATTTTTTTAATTAATGGGAGTCAAATTAATGAGCATTTATTATAATGCTGTGCTCAGGGTACCCAGTAATGGGCATAGTGACAGAAAAGACATTATCGGCTTTCCAGCAATACATGTGTACATGTTTTAGGCAATTAATCGGTACACATCTAAACTCCTATCTGCTACTGTGCAAAAACTTACACACTCTCATTGAAATGTATTACAGCCACATGGAGCTGATCGTCTCCTGGCTGCTCATTGTGTGCTGCTCGTCGGCTACTGAGCTCACACCATTACTGCCAGGCCGGTCGGTCGCTGTACCACACATGCACGTTTGCCATGGCAGTTTTCTTTGTACCCACTCCGCTCAAGAACCTGCTCTAATGCGAAAACTACCTGGCTGGGTTAACGTGGTGATGACGAGCTTCCTGCAAATGATGTGCACACTGTGATGATCTAGCAGTCCTAGTATCGGATGAACGTGCTTTTCGGTTGTTTCCTGATAAAAGCCTGCAGTATGGTAACAACAGGGCTACGCTTGCTGTACCGTACGCCTGCGTTTATGTGTGATAACGTCAGTGTGTCGAGGCTTCTGGGTGTCTGCAATACGCAACTCGGTAACGGCAAGCTGCTTTCGTTTCTACGAAGCTGCGTGCACTTGAACACGGTCTCTCACCACAAGGCAGCAGTCATCAGTGGCTTAGAGTGTTCACATTGTTGTCTGTTAAATGTGTGCAGTAAGCTTTTGAAGTAGTGCTTCGCCTGACGCATGTGTAAGCAGATAGCTGTGATAAGGTTATCGGTGCTGAGTCATACTAGTGCGTTGGTTGGTGGCCACCACCTCACCCTTGTTCTTTCCCAACATTGGCAAATTCATCGGTGCAGTAAACTGACTCACAAATAATTATTGCTTCATGCAGGGTACGCCAGTGGGTACAGAAGGAATCATTATGGCTTAAGCCAGGAATCTGCAAACTTTTCAGGCAGAGAACCAAGGTTGCTTGACGCCAACCTGGCAGGGGCCAGATAGCTACGTGCAAAAGGGGGTGGGTGGGTTACAAGCAAGGAGAAAAAAAAAAGTTTTAATGAATTGACAGTAATCGACAGAACTGCAATTAAAATCTTGTTTGTCTTAACTGGTAGAGCAATCTTTTTTGTTCATTACCGAAAGAGCTTCTAAACTGTCAGAAAAAATGTCGTTATCACGTTTGCTACCTAGTCCTCAAATTTAAAAGCTTTTCGGCTTTTAGGTCGCTTAGCCCTTTTGGGTCGCTTAGCCCTTCGTGGTTGACATACCCGTACACTGTTTGGAAACAGCTTCTGTGTTGCACTTGACTCATTTTTTGTGGTTGATGGTGCTATCTTCTGCAAGCTGTCCCAGCGCCGCCTGTGCCTTCTATAAAAGCTTTTACCAGCTTTCATTTGTCACGATCGTTTAACCGCAACAGTGTTATCTACTGTGACATCGAGGGGTGGCGCCCAGGAGTGTGCAACTATGACACTACAACACACTTAGCCAACTTCTTGTGGTGGCAACCTAGCACGACTAGCGAAACTACTCTGTTGACATTGCAGCAAGTTACATTGTAGCAAGCTATCATGAAAACATCAAAACAAACTGACGATAACGAGATTAACGACAAAATACCGCCGCCGCCTTGCTGTCCACACGAGAAGTGACTATTGAAAAGGTAGCCTATATATCTAGCGATCCTTGAAGTACACCTGGATATCAAGCAGTAAGAGCAAATTACTAGTGAAGCGAGATTCAGGGGTGCTCCCATGCGGCAGAAATTGTCAGGCACTTTTCTGGGTAACAAGCGATCTTTTCTGGTTTCGCAGAAACTCACTATGAGATGGGGATGAATGAACCTTCGCGACAGCTATGGGGACAGCAAATCCAGTTGTCATTGCGCGAAAATTGCATGCAAGGGGTTGAACCTTAAAAGTTTGCATTTGCAGAAAGTGACTGTTAATTGGCGCAGGCAGTCTGGTGACCTTCACTTGCTGTGCGCTTGTCAGTTGCGATATCTGTACACTTACACCATTTGTGAACCCGGCTGTGGCGCACGGATAATTAAAAAATACGGGGTGTGCCGCACGCAGATAGAAAGAAAAACAAAATGGTGCGCGGCAGCCAACAGAGGGGGGGGGCGGGGTAGGTAGCGAGCTGAAGTGGCCGACTGAGGTCGGTGTAATAAAAAAAACCTGGAAAGATCTAACAGGCAAGGAGGCGTAGGTGTCGCTTTGTGGAACTGCAGCAGATCATTGAAGCGGATGCGTTTATTACGCGGGAGAAAGAAAAATCCTAATTTTGATCACTGAACTTTGGGGTGAGCCTATTATGCAAGTGCGTTCATTACGCATGTTAATATAGTAAATGGCTCTCATGTTCCCACTAAAATACATGGCTGGGATGAATGCAGGGAACACAACACTAGCTCATGTTGTGTTTTCATTGTTTCTTTGGTTTTTCAGCACTATCTTTTCAACATGAATCTGGATCAACTCGCTCATTTCATGATTTAATAAGTAAAAAGTTGCACAAGACTTGAAAATGCGAATATTGCCTTGTGGTTGTTGAATTTTTATTTAGGTTCTGTGAAATAAGATGCTGCAATATTGTCTTGTCTCCCACTTGAGATTGCGTGTGTGCATGATGCGTTTTGCAGGTAGAGCGCTACTACCAGCGAGCTTTGGACATCTACGAGCGAACACTGGGTCCCGATGACCCGAATGTGGCCAAAACCAAAAACAACCTGGCATCGGCCTATCTCAAGCAGGGGAAATATAAAGAGGCTGAGCTGCTGTACAAGCAGGTGCTGACGCGGGCGCACGAACGGGAGTTTGGCTGTGTGTCTGGTGACAATAAGCCCATCTGGCAACTTGCCGAAGAACGCGAGGAGAACAAGAGTCAACGCCGGGACAACGCCCCCTACGGCGAGTATGGCGGATGGCACAAGGCAGCCAAGGTTGACAGGTACGCATTTTGCCTGTTTTATGCTAGGTGAATATGTAGAGTCAATGCCTGAAGCTCATTTCATGCACCGTCCCTATTTGCATGCCTCTAAGCAAAAATTTTCTGCTAGAGCTGCATAAAGTCAAACCTTTTTAATACGTACCCGCTTAATGTGTAGCTGCGGTTTGTACATAGTCGCGAGGAATCCCCCGCCCAGTTCCTGTTGAACCCCATGTATTGGCTGACTGCTTAAGCCGTAGTTGCTTGAGGTATTACATATGGTTAGTATGTACCATTTTCGTTCTCGTTAGTCATGCACAGGCTGCAAATCAGCAAGGTTTCGTGCGCGCAGAAGTTCAATACACTAGCTGTGATGATCGGAATACAACAGCCAGCGATCAGACTGTAACAGCCAGTGATAGTGATGTCAAAACATGGCCACGTTGATGCATTTTCTGTGCGTACGGCTGCTGTTGATCGCATCGTGCAAAAGTATAGCGTTCGAGATCGGTTTTTGGTAACCCAGGAACTTCCGGTCACTGCCCCTGGTAGGGGGTGCTCGACAGCACTGAGCCAAGCTTAGCACATTTCTTTATTCGGTCTTTTGTACTCACTTTTCCTCAGTATTGATCGTGTCGGCGGTGTGGTGGTGTTGCGTTACCCACATTCTTCTTGTGTGGCTTGTAGTGTTTTTTTTTTTCAATTCTTGTTGTGTTGTGCACGAGGGGTGTGATTGAATTCGTGCATGAAAGCTGCATATTATGCTGAAGTACCACATCTTAAGTGTGTAAGAAAAACTTGATATCATTCACACCATTCAAAATGGGGCCAAGAAATCTGCAGTAGCTTGTGAAAAAAACTTGCCTTTGATGACTGTGTGTGGAATTTGAAACGCTCGCAATAAGTTGACGGGCAGCACGGGAAGCAATTTGAAGAAATACCACATCAGAGACTCCGCTTATCCTGAAGTAAAAAAGGCCTTGCTTCTTTGGCTGAAAAAGGCACGAAGCATGAACCTGCTGGTTAGCGGACCCCTTTTGACTGAAAAAGCACGAACTTTCGCAGATCAGCTGCACTACCCTGGTTTTGCGTGCAGCAACGGCTGGTTGTCGGGGTTTAAAGCAGCCCGTTACGGCATAGTGGGGAAGGCTGTTTGGAGTGAGGCTGCTGCAGCAAACAAAGAAGGCGCTGTTGAATGGCAGGACACCGATTTGCAGGAAGCCTTGACAGCCTACGATGCCGCCGACATTTTCAGTTTCGATGAGTCGGCACTTTTTTATTGCCTGCTTCCAAACAGGACATTGGCATTCAAGAACGAGAAGTGCATAGGCGGGAAACATGGCTAAAATTGGGTATCGGTCGCTTTTGGTGTAAATATGACTGGTACTGAGAAGCTGCCACTGATGGTGATTGGCAAGTATGGAAACCCGCGGTTATTCAAAGGCGCTCGACTGCCATCTGGTGTTGTTTCCAACCACAACAAAAAAGCCTGTATGACAGCCCAGCTGTTCGAGGAGTACGTACGTCAGCTGGACTGCCATTTTGCTGCCAAGAAAAGGAGCATACTGATAGTACTCAACAATGTGTTGGTAACCTGTTGGCTTTAAGCTGTTGTTTTTGCTGTCCAACAGAACAGCACTCGCCTAGCCTCTCGATCAGGGCATCCGCACTGTCAAGCAGATTTACCGTAAAAATCTGTTGCGGAGGAAGTTGCTCATGGAGGTCGACAAATCGTAGAAGATAGACCTCCTGGGTGCTATACACCTGCTTGCACACTCATGGATGCAGGTACAGCATGTAACGATATAGAACTGTTGCGCGCGAGCACAATTCATGATGCCAAAAGAAGGCAAGGATGACAACGAGGATGGTGAGGACACTGAAGACTGCGAGAATCTTCTTGTTGAGGTGCTCGAGTGGTAAGGAGAGGGAGTTGAAAAGTTAACGTCCGCATTTTCTGAGATGTGAACACAGACGTCGGTACATCTCTGGGCTTTTCCGACAGCGACATTTTTGCCGCCTTTGCACCTCGTCCTGATTCAAGCAAAAGTGAGGACAGGGAGTTGAAGTGGATGACGACCCCTCGTTATCCGAAGCTGCATGTGCTGTAACTGTGATGCGAGCCTTCACCGAGAAGCGCGGCTTAATGGACCGGCTGACTTGTGGCCTCACCGATTTTGAAAATGCCATCGTCGCGGCAAGGCCACTACGGCGGCAAGTGAAGATCACGAATTTTTTTGCTGCCTGTTCCTAAATAAAGCTTCTGTGCCTGCGTGTGTGTATGTGCGTTTTTGTGAGGATTGTGGCGTTATTTTCTGACCAGTAAGTAGCCGCTAAATTGGCATTGATGGTTAATTCGTACATTGCTTAGTGCGTATCAGAAGGTTGTTCCGGGCCAATCACGTAATACTGAGGTTCGACTGTAGAGGTGCAAATGCACATCAACAGGGACCATGGAAATTTAGGAAGTGCTGATTCCAGAAGCAGACACTGTTGACGCATGACTTGCTTCTCTGTGCTTACATAATTATTGACTGCACTTTTTTTTCTCTAAAATTTGACATGTGTAGGATGGGGGGAATTATTGCTCAACCGACCTTTTTTAGGAAAAGGATTTAGAATTCTCGAGGAGTATTTACCTTTCATTGGTTGTTGCCGGGGTGAGTTGTCCCCTGATGCTCTTGGCAGATTGCTCACCGGTAGGAAACCTTGTTGGTGTGCCATTTATTGTTGGATCACTTCTGTGCGATCACAAACAGTGGCGCACTCATGTAACACTAAGTTAAGAGCAATAAAAGCAAGAATTGCTTAGAGGGGATATACCTCTCCACAGCCAAGTGGTGCAACACAAGGTCAAAGCAGCTGTACAGTGATTGCCACATTCACTGTGTCAATACATTTGGGGTGCAGTCACTTATCTCATCATATTGTCACATAGGAGTGACGTCAGCTGGAAGACGGGAGACCGGGGCGATCGTAAGAATGAATGAGAACCGGTTTAAGGGGAACTTGCGCTAATAAAAAAACTGTACACTTTTGCTTCGGTGGCGACGAACATGTGCTAGGCGACTGTTGCAAAACAGAATACCCGCTGAATTGCAAGGCGATGTCGACCATTTGAGATACACCCCCAAAACGGCTGCATGCACAGGGCCACAATCATGCCAGATTAATCGAAGCACATTCTGTATCACTAGCAGAGATATGGCTGCGGGTTGGCATGCACGAATAAAGACATGAGAATTCTTTGCAGTATTGTGGTGATAGAAAGGAGATACTTGTTGCAAAGGCTAGGCAAGCTGACCATAGCACCAAGCTGGAAAAGCCAAAATCATTGTGTAGTCTCATACAGCATTGCCAATTTAGTGGCAGAAAAGCATATCCCATGTTGTCGAGTTGTGCAGTGGTTCCACAACTCAAGAACACAAGGTATGTAGTACAACATATGGCATTGCAGCCGTTGTGCAGGTACCATGGTTGATTTTATGCCTTTTTTGTGAGCAGCTGTAAGTTTTTGTTGTCTATGCCCCATTTTCAGATTATATTCATGCACAGCCACCTAAATAACTGGATCGAGAACAGTGTCCTGTTTGTGCCTGCCAGCAGAACCATTGCATTGCTAGAGCTGATAATAAATAGCCTTAATTACCAGCAGACATTGCATACGTGAAGTGGTATAAAGCAAAGTCATAGCCGGATGTCTGGGGATTTTTTTGTTTGGTGCCCTGCCGTGGTGGTCTAGTCGCTAAGACACTCGGCTGCTGACTCGCCGGTCGCGAGATAGAATCCAGGCTGCGGCGGCTGCATTTTTGATGGAGGCGAAAATGCTGTAGGCCCGTGTGATCAGATTTGGGTGCACGTCAAAGAAGCCCAGGTGGTCGAAATTTCCGGAGCCCTCCACTACATCGTCTCTCATAATCATATGGTGGTTTTGGGGCGTTAAACCCCGCATATCAATCAATGCTTTCTTCAGTTTTCAGTACATGCTCGGTGGGGTCAATATGCTGGAGAAAAAGGAAAGAAAAGAATGTTATGACCCAATTCAGGGCGTGGTCACCGTGGGAGTAAACTCGGTGTGTTAAAGTGCCAACCACTGGCATGCGTATGCATGCGCCTATGCGTCAAAAGCGTCTAGTCGCGCCTGTAGAGGAAAAGGGCACGCAACCACTGGCACGCGTCAGCCGCGTTGACACTCATGCGTCTAAGGCTGATGCACATTGTTGCTTGATCTTTTTGCTTAAAACTGTCCAAGTTCAGCAAAGAACGGTGGGTTCTCAACTGGAGCGGGTTCGTTTGTTTTAGAGGATATGAGAACACGTTAAAAACTTAATAGTAAATCAGATGGCAGCTTTCACACACTGATTTTAAACGTGACGAGGCTCCGGCAGCAACTTGACGAGAAGAATTTCGTGCGTTCGTGCATGGATGGATGGATAGATGGATGGATGCATGTGGCTGTACCCTTCGAATCGGGCGGCGGCTAAAGCCACCTAACCGTAATACTTAGTGAACTAACCACTAGACTTATCTTTTTTTTTCTTTAAATCGTGAGGTTGAGGATTCGTACTTTGCACTGAAGGGATTTTTTTTTCACTCATGCCTTGACTTTAGCCACCAATCAGATAACCTCCTTTCAGTTAATTCTACCCGCTTAAAGTCTATTTTGCCCTCCCTGTCCCTAAACCCCAGTGCTTTGAAGAACTGTGCGCCATCATCCGGAACTATAGGGCGAATCCCTTTACGGAACAATATCAAGTGTTTGGCAGTTTCTTCTTCCTCTCCACACGCACTGCATACCGTGTCTACCCCTTCGTATTTGGCCTGGTTCGCAATACTACCTTCCTGGCCTCAAACGATAGAGAACTACCCCGAGTATTATCGTAGATCCTTTCCTAGGCAATTTCTTGCTTAAATGTTCAATAGATCTCTAAAGGACTTTTATATCATGCCAATTCTCCACATGTCGGTCTCAGCTTCCTTCACCTTCTTCTCAACCAATTATTCTTTTTGGTTTGGCCCCC